AGGTTGGAAAAGCCCTTTAGGATCACTTGCTCATTTCTGACTCCAGGCTGGTGCAGTGATGGGTTTATCAGACATTTCAGATTACCCCTGAATTTGTGTTCCTGGTTTTCCTCAGCTGCAGCTGTAGGGATTTGTCCTTTGCCCTTGGAAGACCTGGGTAGTGCCAGGCTGAGCCTCTTTGAGTCTGTCTAGGAAAAGCTTCAGGGATGATTTCCTTTCCAAGGTGTTTTTGGAGACCTGTCCTTTACCTAATCACGTGCTTTGATCAGGTGTTCATCCCATTTCATTATTAAAACTGCACATGTGAACAGAGTGAAATGTTAGGTACAGGACTGTGTATCCCCAGGTGATTCCCTCACTCTGAATTTTCATACAAACGAGTTAATTTTCCTGAACAGTGTTATTTAATGTGAAATTTCCTGTTCTGTCAGCTTTGTTTCGTTATTTTGTGTGCAGCACTTTGGTGCTAAATACAAAAAAAACTTTCCCAGTTTTGGAACAGCTGCTGGAATTTCTCAGGGATGTGGTGTTGGATGACTTGGGGTCACTGTGGTTCTCTCAAACCTGATTTGAAATTCACTTTGGAGAGTCAGGAGTGCATTTGCCCACATTTACTGAGCCCTCCCTCACTGCTGCTGGGTCAGGAGGTGAACATTGTCAATGGCACGGTGTCGCATGGGTTTGAGGAATTGAGATTGTGCTCGGGGTTTCAGGGAGGTTTCTGATGCTGCTTTCCCCCACTCTGTGTCTGTCCCAGTTTGGGGCCCAGCTCCCTCAGCAGGGTCTGTTTGCAGCTGGAGCTGGATGAGCTCCAGCTTCTCCTTGTTTCCAGCTTCTCCTTGTTTCCAGCTTCTCCTTGTTCCCTGCTCCCCCCAGCCCTGGGCTGTGTCCTGTGACACATCTGTGAGCACACAGCCCCCCAATCTCCATCTCAGGGGCTGCTCCTGCTGAGCTCAGGTTTAACAGAAACAGGGAGAGGCACCACGAGCACCCTTGTCACACTCTGAGGGTGTGAAACACTCCCATGGCTGCCTCATGCAGCAGATATAGATGCACAGATCTCTGCTGTTATTTATGTGTGGATATAAATGGCACAAAGCTAATCCTTATAAAAATCAATTTGCCTTCTGCTTGAGAGAAATCTATTTTAATGGCAAGGACGTGGCAGTGCCACCTCCCTGGTTTGGGGTCGTTCTGGGTCACAGGCTCCTGTGTGTGTCCTGCTGGGAGCTTTTTGGGTGACCCTCAGCTGACTCCTCTGACAAATCCCTTCCTTCTCCCTCATTTGCATCCCACTGGAATGGGAAAGCTCTCAGCATCCTCCACACCTCTTGTACGAAACCTTCACACCTTTTATTTGATTCATCATCTTCAAGGGCCTCTGGTTCCCAGCACTAGATTTATGATGGAATTCTGTGTTTCCTGCCAGCAGTGGAGCAGGAGGGCTGGAGCTGGCAGGTTCCCTCCCTCCCAGCCCCTTCCTGTGCCCAGGGTCACACAACACCCCCTGTGTTTCATCCCCAGCACCTGGCAGCTGTGGAGGAGAGGAAGATCAAGTCCCTGGTGGCCCTGCTGGTGGAGACTCAGATGAAGAAGCTGGAGATAAAGCTTCGCCACTTTGAGGAGCTGGAAACCATCATGGACCGGGAGAAGGAGGCAGTAAGTGAAACTGGGGATCAAATCTCTCCCTGCAAATTCTGTGTGCCAGCACCTGGAGCAGCAGCAGCTCCTCCCCTCTCCTCTCCTTTGTGTCCCTCAGCTGGAGCCCACCATTCCCTCCCACAGTGGCACTTGAGCCCTGCTCCATCCAGTGGTTCTCTGGTCCATTAGCAGCTTCAGGAGAGGGGAAGGGAGTGAGGTCAGGCCATGGAGAGGAGCTGTCTGGGCCTGGATTACTCAGGAATTACCAGCAGTTGTGTCACGTGCAGTGCCAGAGGCTTTGGAGAAGTGTTTCCTCTGCAGCTGCTTGAAAGATCACTCCAAATCTCTTTTTTTTTATCAAAATCTTTTTTTTTACCGGAATCTCATTTTTTATCAAAATCTTTTTTTTTTACCAAAATCTCATTTTTTTATCAAAATCTTTTTACCAAAATCTCATTTTTATCAGTTTTAATTTCTCTTTCTGTGTGTAGCTGCCTCATTGTTGTGAGTAGAGTGTTACTATGGGTGGCTTGAAGATTCAGTCTGGGTTATATTGATTCATAATTGCAGGGATTTCTGCATTTACCCTTCTGTGTGAATTTAGTGGAGTTACAGCCCCATTTGGCATTCATGGGAAGGGCACCAGGTCCAGCTCCTGCCCCTCACAGCACCCAAAACTAAGCCAGGTGAGCAGGAGCATCCTGCAGGCATTCCCTGAGCCCTGCCAGGCCTGATGCCATGGGCACAGCCATGCAGAACCTCCTCCAATCCAGAGTTCCCCTAATCACACTGATGGAGTCTGACAAGATGTGGACTCCTCTTGGAGCAGGATGTCAGCAGGAATTTCTGGATTGCTCCACATCCTCCAGTGTTTCAGTCTGTGTTTGAGTGGCAGCTCAGGAAATGGACCCAGCTCTTTTGGAAAGGTTCCCTGCAGATTCTTTCTTTGGGGGATATATTCCATTAGTGACAGGGAGGGTTTTTTTCCTCCCTTTTGAGGCATATGACATTTCCCTTTTTAAAAATGTGCATACAGATTTTCCCCTTGGCTTCCTGGTGGTTAAATTCGCTCTTTTCACCTGTCATTGTGGATATTTAGTGGAATAATTAAAGCAGCAAAGCCTCCTTGCTGCCACTGCACCCTGGGCCTGTCACTCCTGCTGCCCTGGCTTTCCTTGCAGGGAGGGAGCAGGGCTGGGGTGCTGACAGGAGCCAGTGCTGCAGCCTGCAGGGTGAAACATCTCAGACAAAACTCATTTATTGTGTTTGTGCTGGAGCTGAGCAGTGTCAGCAGTGCCACTGCTGACTGTGGGAATCCAGGGCATTGTTGGTGGGGCTTGGCCCACCCACAATTTCTACTGGCAGCTGAAGCTTTGCTGGTTCTGTCCAGGGAGGAATTCCTGAATCCCTGAGGTTGGAAAAGCCCTCTCAGCCCATGGAGTCCAACCTGTGTGAGATGGTGTTCACAGGGGTTCTTGGATGAGGATCTGACTCCATGCTTCAAAGGCTGATTTATTATTTTATGGTATATATTACATTAAAACTGTACTACAAGAATAGAAGAAAGGATTTCATCAGAAGGCTGGCTAAGAGTAGAATAGCAAAGAATGATAACAAAGGTTTGTGGCTCAGCTCTCTGTCCAAGCCAGCTGACTGTGATTGTCCATTAATTACAAACATCCAACATGAGACCAATCCCAGATGCCCCTGTTGCATTCCACAGCAGCAGATAATCAATGTTCACATTTTGTTCCTGAGGCCTCCCAGCTTCTCAGGAGGAACAATCCTAAGGAAAGGATTTTTCATAAAAGATGTCTGCAACACTTGTGCCCACCTTGTCCCCAGCCCAGAGCACTCAGTGCCACCTCCAGGTGTTCCTTGGACACCTCCAGGGATGGGCACTCCAAACCTCTCTGGGCAGCCCCTGCCAAGACCTGAGCCCCCTTTCCATGGGGAAATTCCCCTGAAATGAAGTTCTGTGCTGGAGATGAGGCTGTGGCACTGATTTGTTGTGTGATTGGACATAAAGGCATTGCAGTTGCCCCTCCTGGTGCACCACCTTCACAGCAGCACAGAAAGGGGTGTTGGATATTGTCATTGTCACCTCTGACACCCAGAGCCACCTCCCTCAATTCCAGCTGGTCTCCTCAGTGGGTTTTGTGGGAGCTGCAGGAAAGGGTCCAGCAGGGCCACAGGGATGTTCAGGGCTCTGGGGCTGCAGGAGCTGGGCCTGCTCAGCCTGCACAAGGGCAGGCTCCCAGGGGATCCCATCAATGCACACAAATCTCCCAAACTGTGCCAGGAGAAGGTGCCAGGCCCTGCTCAGTGACAGCACCAGGAGCAGCGGCACAAACCAAACCCCAGCAGCAGGAACAGCCTCTGTCCATGGAGGGGCAGAGCCTGGCACAGCTGCCCAGGGGGGCTGGGGTCTCCTCTCTGGAGCATCCCAAACCCAGCTGGGCACAGCCCAGGGACCCTGCCCTGCCCTGGTGACATCCAGGCCCTCCCAGCCCAGGCACTCCAGGTCTGGGGCAGAGCTGACCTTGGTGAAGGCTCCCAGCCTTGCTCCTGCCTCATTCCTGCAGGAATGACTGAGGTGGGAGAGCAGCTGTGGGTCACTGATGGAGCTCCCACTGGAAATGTGTTATTTAAATAAGTTGTTTTTATGCCAGTGTGGGGAAACAGCTGGGGCTGTGTGTGAGGTGGGACAGAGCCTGCTGCAGAACCAGGGCTTTGGGTCTGCACTAGAGCCCAGGCTTAAGCTTGGCTCAGCTTTAGCACCAGCTCACATTTTAACTTGCCTTTCTGTGCCTTTTTCTCATCCCAAGCAAAGGGGTTGTGTAAAAAGGGACGTTTTCCCTGCTTTTCCTCCTCCAATGTGAATTTTCAGGCACTGGCTGCTGTTTGGGCATCCTTGTAAAGGCTCTTTTAAACTGTACCGGGATGGGGTGCCACGAAGAGAGCAAAGCAGGGCCACAAAAGGGTCTCAAAGGAACAAAACGGTGCTGCCTGAGCCTTTGTTTGGGGTCATTTGCAGGAATTCCTCTCGCAGCTGTCTGCCACCTCGGGAATGTTTCCCCACACACCCCATTTCCCCGGTGGGGAGGGTTTATGGGGAGCTTCCCTGAGCAGATGAGAGCAGAAAGGAGCCAGGGCAGCGTGAATGATGCCATTGTGGCCTGAGCGCTCCCCGGCCGGCTCATGGTTAATTCATGAGCTCGGCCCAGCTGGGGCTGCTCAAAGGGCCTCTGTGAGCTGCCTGCCCTGCCCTGGCTGCCAGCACAGCCCCTGAGCAGCTCGGGGAGTTTTGGAGAGCTCCTGCTAGGTGAGAGTCTCCTTGGCAACCTGCTTTCAGCTGAGCTGTGGAGCCTACCTTAAAGCACTGCTGCTGTCTGTACCCGAGTCACACAGCCCCGCGCTGCCTGTCCGCGGATGTAACAATATATTATTGTTTATATTCATGGAATAATGTGGGAATAATGGGTCAGTACTCCTGAAATAAGTCAAACATCGCTTCCTTTGCCAGAGCCTGACCCATCACACAAATGCCCAGGGGTAGGAAATGCTTTCTGTAGTTTTTTTTTGTCTTTTCATGGAATCTCAGACTGGTTTGGGTTGGAGGGATTTTCTGGATCATCCAGCTCCACCCAGGGCAGGGGCACCTTCCCTGGGCCAGGTTGCTGAGGTCTCACTCTCTATGTGACTTCATAATTAATCAAAGCAGCCTATTTGATGTTAATTGGCCTAAAAGACTCAAGGTTTTTTACATGAAACTTTTAATATTGCAAACCTGTGTCTGGCTGCTGTGACATCCAATTCCTGCACTCAGAGGATGGAGAAGGATCCCACCTGTGATCCCTGAGCTCCTGCAGCTGCCCACGTGTTCTGCTTCAGGCTTCCCTAGCAAATCCCCTGAGGTTCCTGCTCTCCCTCATCCCAACATGCAGAAATGGAGAGGAAAACCCCCAGTTTCTCCCAGAGCTGTGCCAGGGCTGAGCTCTCAGTGCAGAGCTCAGTGAGTAACGAGCTGTGCTGCTGAGAGCTTGTAGGACAGAGCAAGGTGAGTTCATGTGTCCCTGCTAGGAAAAGCCACAGAGCCTTTCCCAGAACCTGCTGCAAACATCCAGAGGGCAGCAGCTCCTTTTGGGTCTGGTGGGGTTGGGATGAGAGGCTTCTTCCAACCCAACCCAACCCAACTCACTGATGGGCAGGAGCACATTGGAAATGCACCATTGCTAACTCAGCTCTGCCCTCTGTCCTGGCACAGCTGAAACCACAGAGGCAGGAGATGTTTGAAATGCACCATTGCTAACTGACCTCTGCCCTCTGTCCTGTCCTGGCACAGCTGGAGCAGCAGAGGCAGCAGCACAGCTGGAAATACATCATTTCTAACTCATTATTAACCTCTGTCCTGTCCTGGCACAGCTGGAACCACAGAGGCAGGAGATGTTTGAAATGCACCATTGCCAACTGATCTCTGCCCTCTGTCCTGGCACAGCTGGAGCAGCAGAGGCAGCAGCACAGCTGGAAATGGATCATTATTAACCTCTGCCCTTTGTCCTGGCACAGCTGGAGCAGCAGAGGCAGCAGCACAGCTGGAAATGGATCATTATTAACCTCTGCCCTTTGTCCTGGCACAGCTGGAGCAGCAGAGGCAGCAGCACAGCTGGAAATGCACCATTATTAACCTCTGCCCTTTGTCCTGGCACAGCTGGAGCAGCAGAGGCAGCAGCTGCTGACTGAGAGGCAGAACTTCCACATGGAGCAGCTCAAGTACGCCGAGCTGAGGGCTCGCCAGCAAATGGAGCAGCAGCACAGCCAGAACCCCCAGCAGCCCCACCAGCAGCACCCCAGCGGGCCTGGCATCACCCCCCTGGGGGCACCAGCACACCCAGGGCTGCTGCCCCACCAGCAGCCCCCACCCTACCCCATGATGCACCACCAGATGCCACCTCCTCACCCACCTCAGCCAGGTAAGAGCTGGGAGCAGGGAGGTGCTGCCAGGAGAGGCTGCCCAGGGGGCTGTGGCTGCTCTGGGTTACTGGTTTGTAGTGGTGCCACTGTCACACACAGTTGGCTGCTGCAAAGATGAGCTTTGCAAAGCTTCGTTATGGTGCTCCCATTCCAGATGTGGGGAGGAGCTGTTTTATGGAGGGGGAACCCCAAAGATCAGGACTAGGGGAGTGCCAGCGTGGGAGGCAGTGGGCACCAGCAGCAGAAATTCCTTCCAGCCACAGGAAAACACTTTTCTCCTTCAGGGACTCACCAGCCCCAGAGCAATTGTCCAGCAGGGCTGGGAGTCCCCTGCCTGGGACAGTCAGGCTCTAAAGTAAAGTGAAATATGAAGCTGCCCCAAGCACTTCCAGGTGTTTTTAGGTTATTTGTATTTCCTTAGACTTGTTTTATAATGGGTGATCTGAGCAGATGCTCCTTCAAAAACAATCACTCCTCCAGTTCTCCAGTTCGTGGCACACCAAATGTGCAGAAATTCAGGGAAAGGACTGGGAGGAGCAGCAGGAGCTCCTTAAGGACCTTCCTTGGCAGGAGACCTGGCTGTGAGGGGTTCCTGGGTCCTGCCTGGGTGGTTTGGTGCCAGGGAGGGTCAGAGGGGTCACCTGGATGTCTCCAGTGCAGCCTGTGCTGCTGGCAGGGCCCTGTCCTGCTGAGGGGTGGGTACTGCTGATTCCAGAGCCTGGGCTGATCAGGTGAGATGTGAATTGGCAGCTTTTACTTGCTAAAGGTGATTGGAATGATAATTTAAAATCAAGTCATGGTGCCTGGCATGTGGGAACCTGGCTGTGGGTCTGGATACAGCCAAGGAGGAGCTTGACCAAAACCTGCTCCAGAAGAAAACCTGATCAGTTATTAGCTAAAAATATTTGGGAAGATTTTTCATAGGCAGCTGCTGAAGAAGCTGCAAAGTTTGGGTGTCATAACCCACATAGAACATGGCAACAAGAAGCTGCAGGAACTTGAGTTTTCCTCTTGAGACAAAAAGTGTTTGGTTTGGGAGGGAGCAGAAGGGCCCAGGAAAACAGCAGGATCTGCAGGTGAGCAGGAAAATGTCTAATCCAGGGAAGGATCCAATCCAAGTGGATCTGCAGGGTAATCAGAGTGGGTTCCCTCAGCAGGGACAGAGTTCTGGTGTCTGGTGGGGCTCAGGCTCACTCTGCTTTTAGGGCTCAGGGAGTTCCTGGGTTTACTGTGGGCAAAAATCCCTGTTTGGGAGCTGGTGTGGTTTTTGCTGGAATTAGATTGGGAGTGTGATAAAACAGGGTGTGGTTTTAGACTCAGATTGAACACCTGAGTCTGTTGTGGGGTGTGCACAGCTCAGGGCTGTCACATGAAGGAATAACCTGGGAAGGGAAAACAAATGAGAACAGAGGGAAGGAGGGAGCCCTGGCACATCCACACACTGCTGTCCCTCCCACACTGCAGTGGGGACTGGGACAAGGTTAAAGCATTTGTTAGTTGGTTAAAGTATTTGTTCACTGAGAGCTCCCCTGGCTGACACAGCCCCATGTTACTGCAGCCCCTCACAGCCCTCCAGGCTCTGCATTCCCAGAGCAGGGACAGGGAATGGGGTGTGTTCATGAGCCACAACATCCCCCTTCCAGGTTTGATTAAAGCTGCTCAATAGAGTGACTTTGCAGCAGCACCTCCCCTGGCTGAGGCTCAGCTCTGCTGGCTCCCAGCAGTTCCAGAGCTGGGGTGCCATCTCATTCCTGGCCCCCAGGAATGTTTTCCTGACTCCTCTGACATTTCTCTGCTTTGATGCTCTTGTAAAGGGAAGAACTTGAGGCCCACTCTAGGTTTGGAGCAAACCCCCCTGTGTCCCCAGCCAGAGCCCAGCTGGTCTTGCCTAGAAAGCACAGGAAGCTCCTTGCCTTGGGCTCTCCAGAGGAAGTTTGTTAGGAATTCCTGGGGTTAGGAAAGCCCAGGGGTGCCAAAGCCCTTTGGCTGCACAGCAGAGTTATTCCAGCTTGGGAGCATGGAGAGGAAATGGTGAACTGGTGAACTTCAGCTTGGTCACCCCACACCTGTGCGTTCCCTCAGTGGATCTGCCCCCAAGTCTCCTGCAGCCTTTGTGGAGATCCCAAAATTTGGTGAGTGTGAGGAGATCATGGAGTCCTGCAATGGTTTGGGTTGGACCTTGAAAATCACCCAGTGCCACCTCTGCCATGGCAGGGACACCTTCCCTGTGCCAGGTGCTCCAAGCCCTGTCCAGCCTGGCCTTGGGCACTGCCAGGGATGGGGAGGAGAACCCCCCAAAGCCCTGAGGCTGATCCAGGGGCACCATGGAGCTGCTGGGCTGGGATTACCTGCCAGGTTTCACTGCAGACCTCACCTTGGTGCTCAGTGCTGGCTCCTGAGGTTCTGAGCTCAGCAGGAGCTGCAGGGATGGTGGGAAGCAAAGGGAGGGAAGGATCTGAGATGGCATTGGAGAGGGAAGGGAGGAGGATAAATCCCTGCTCAGGGGCAGAAGCAGTAAAATCAGGCTCTTACCTAAAAGTTAAAAGTGAGGCTTTTCCCAGAAGTCTGGTTTTTAGCTCAGGTGTCGGTCTGGATGTGGTGGTGGAGAACATCTCCAGTGCAGGGTTCTGCTGGACCCATCTGGAGAACATCTCCAGTGCTGGACCCATCTGGAGAACATCTCCAGCCAAGGGTCACCCACTTCTCCTTGGCATGGCCGTGTCTGGCTCTGCTGGACCATAGAATTCATTTTCCCTGAGCTTATTTTGTTCTCCCCTTTGCCCTGGAATGAAAACTTTTAGAATAGGAAAACAAAGTTGGGTTCCAATTTCACTGTGAAAAGCTGCCCCTTGTCATGGTAATAGGAAATCAAATTCCCATTTTCTTCCCATGGTACCAGTTTGGGTACTGCATTGATTTCCCTTCAAGCTCTGGGCTGGTGATCAATGGGATGAGAACTCCTGGTTCTGGTGATACCCATGGTGTGGAATGAGAGAAACTTCTGGAAATCCTTGGAGGAACAGAGATAGCTGGGAATTAGTGGCTGTCATTGTTAACTCTTCCTTCAGGTGGGATTTTCAGCTGGTAAATAATTTCTGACCTAAGGCAGAAATGGAATGAGGAGGGCAGGATACACTTCCCACCACAGCTGGATGAGCAACTTTGATAACTTTTCCCTGACAGATTTTACCTAATTTTCTGTCAGTGGTTGAAATATTCAAAAAAAAAAAGACTTTGTCAGGAATTTTGGCCTTGGGGTTTTTCAGCTGCTGAGCATTTCATTATTTGTGGGTTTAAATTGAGTTGCTAGATGCTGTTTGCTTCCTTATTGGACTGGTGATGATTCCAGGGACTTTCTGGGTACAGAAAAGGATTTTGAGTTCACTTCCTTTAGGTAAATATTCTCTGTCAGCTGTCAGTGCTTCCCATTTCTCCATCAGAACTTGCTGGGGAGGGGCAGGGAGCAGTGGGATGAGAGGAGATCCAAGTCAGGGGGTGGTGAAAGGGGCTGGAGCTGATCCTTGCAAGCAGGCTGTAATTTGGGATTGGTGCTGTCAGGGTGGTTGGTGACACAGGAACACTGACACCAGTGTAATTTGGGATTGGAGCTGTCAGGGTGGTTGGTGACACAGGAACACTGACACCACCTTGGGCTCTGTGCTGCAGTTTGGCTCTTTGGGGCTGGAGTAGTGAACAGAAGCAGTAAATAGCTGCTACATTACAGAATTCCTGGCCTCAAGCAGTCCATCAGAGTGACCCCAGGACAGCAGCTCCTCTGGAACAGCCAGCACTGCCCTCCCCTGCTCTCCTGAGGGCTGAGCTCTCCTGGGGATGTTGGGTGCAGGATCCTTTCTGTGGAATGGGGACAGCAGCAGCTCCTCAGAGATGCTCCAGTGTCTCTTATGTGCCTCCGGAGAGGCTGGGAATGATGCCCCAGGGAATGAGGGGCTGGGATTGCTGCCCCTGGGAATGGTGCCCCAAGCAGGGCTGGCTCTGGCTCGGGAGGGCTCTGGAAGGAGAGACAGGGACAGAAATGTTGGGTGCCAGTGAAGTGGAAACCGTGCCTGTCCTTCCCCAGACGCAGGCTCAGTGAGTTGTTGTGGTTAATTACTCACACTGCTTGCCTGGGCAGGGGGAGGGAACGGTGGGTTTGCTGTTGGAATATCCCTGCCCATGGCAGGGGTGGGATGGGATCAGCTTTAGGGTCCCTTTTAACCCAAACCATTCCAGACTCCCAGAGCCTGTGGAGCCTGTTCCCCGTGGGCAGGGGCACACCTTGGGGTGCCAGCAGCCGTTCCCTGGAGCTGTTCTGTGCCTGTCCCGTGTCAGGGCTGGCAAGCAGCTCCTCAGCAGGGCAGGGCAGGGTGGCAGCCAGGCTCAGCCCAGAGCTGCTCCCTGCCCTCCCCAGGCCATCCTGCACCGAGCCCTGGCTGTGCCCACAGCTTTGCCCTGCACAGGCTGGGCAGGGAGAGGTGCTGGAGGATTTGGATCAGCTCCAGGCCTCATGCATCAAAACAAAACCCCTCTGGCTGCTTATCAGCCCAGCGCTCCTCAAGTGCTGATTTAATAGAGGGGAGAGGCTTTTTAATGGAGATAAATAGCTTGGAGAGCCTCTGAAGGCAGCTCCTGCCCGTGTCCCTGGGCTGTGGAGCTGCTCTGGCTGCAGGGGAAGGGGAACCTGCCCTGCCCCTCTGCGTGAGGGGGTTTCAGTCACTTCAATCTCGTTGTGTTGAACCTTTGGGCTGGATCTCTTCCTGCAGCTGCTGCTCCTCAGCTCTCCCCCCTATGTAGGTCACACTTGCACATTTTCTGCTTGAGCCGCTGTCTTGGAGCGCTTTCTCTTGGAAAAAAGAAAAACATCTCTGTGAAGCAGGGCTGTGGCTGTGCTGTGGTGGCAGCAGTGATTCCCCTGGTTAATCCCACCAGCGTGGGGTCAGTGCCTGGGTGCTCTCAGCTGGGTGTTTTGGAGCTGGGGTGGGATGGGCTTGTTCCTCTGCCAGCCCCCTCAGGTAATTTTGGGATGAAAATATTGCATCCCTTGTCAGAAAGGGGAAAAATGGGCAGCCAAAGCCCCACACAGAGGAACCTCTCAGCTTATACACAACTTCAGCTTGAACCATTGGGTTTTAAACCTCTAAAGTTTAACGGGGAGAAAAGCTCAGGACACTCCATGGCCCAGGGAGGAGGGAGCTTCCCTATGAACATTGCTGGGACATTTGGGGTTGATTTGGGCTGGAAGAGACCTTAAGGATCATCCAGGGCCACCCCTGCCATGGCAGGGACACTCCCACTGTCCCAGGCTGCCCCCAGTGTCCAGCCTGGCCTGGCCTGGGGCACACTTTGCATTTGTGAGGAAAAGACACTTTATAAAGTAGATTTAGTTTCTGTTCAGTGGTGGTTTTAGCTCAGCTGGGGTTGATGTGCATATAAAACGTCTTTGAATCTTCATGTCCCTGTGGGTTTGGCAGCCTTTCCCTGAAGTTCTTGCCCACTGCTGGAGTTTCACTGAAGCCACTCAGTGTGCAGTAAATTCTGATTCAGCTTCAGGTGTTTCAGGAGAGGGATTTTAATATTAATCACTTCATTAGTGAGAGAGACTCTCGCAGGCCTGTGGTGTTCAGGGATGGCCAAATTATTGAGGCTTCTGTCAGGTGGCAGCTCCCAGGCTGGGAATTCCTCAGTTCCCACCTTTCCTGGGCCTCTCAAACACAGCTGTATTGTTATTGTTCCAGTTTTTATAGTTTTATTCCCTGATCAGCATTATTTTGCCAGTGAATGACACCCTCATAGCTGTGAATATCTCCTGCTACAAAGCCTCGGAGTGTTTGGGAGCTTGGAACTGGATGATTTCCCCAATATCCCATTGCTCTGGCAGTGAGAAGCCATTCCCTGCGTCCTGTCCCATGTCCCAAATCCCTCTCCAGCTCTCCTGGAGCCCCTTTGGCTCTCAGTGCTTCCCCTTTGCCTGGGGTTAGGGGGCAGGAGCTGCTCCCATCCCCGTCTCATTAAAACCCTGTCCCTCCATGCAAGTGTGATGAAGGAAATGGAACTCGATTGTGCCAAACCACCCCTCAAATGAGATTTTAAAGCATGGGAAACCTGTTCCTTCCCTGGAGCAGGGAGGTCTCCCACAGAGCTGGTTTGTGAGGAAGAGCCTTGAATCCTGCCTCACAGCAAAGCAGGGAATCATGGTAGGGATTCCTGTGCAGCCCAGTTTTAACTGCATGATTTCAGTTCTCCCACCAAATTTGTCCTTGAGGAGCCTTCATGGCTGCTCCTTTCCCTCAAGGCTCTTCCTCTGGTGCCTTGTGACTCCATTTGCTTCCCAGTACCTGCATTCCAGGGATGCCCTTCCTGCCTGCAGTGGGTTTTACTGTGCTGTGTCCCACTTGTCCCTTGTGGAGAGCTTCCAGGTGCCCCTGGCCCTGCCTGGGGTGTCTGGGGGTCAGAGGGTGTTTCCTGGGGGGTCAGAAGGCATTTCCTGGGGGTTTCATGGGGGATGATGCAGCATTTCCTGGAGATGTGCTGGGGGGAGTGAGGCAGCGTTTGCTGGGGGGTGAGAATGCAGTTCCTGGGGTTTGCTGGGGGTCAGAAGGTGTTTGCTGGAGGTGAGAATTCCCCCTTGGATAGGCTGGGGTGTCTCCAGAGCTGGGGTCTCCTGCTGAACCCATTTCCTGGGGGTGTGCTGGGGGTGAGCCAGCATTTCCTGGGGGTGTGCTGGGGAGTCAGAACGTGTTTTCTGGGGGTGTGCAGGGGAGTGAGAAAGGAATTGCCCCTTGGATAGGC